AATCCTCCCTTAGTTATGCTGCAATAGACCGTGGCATCTTTGTCATCATTATCACTGACTACATGTTTATAGACCAATCTCCATTTAATCATTAGTTATCATTAATCCCTGGCCCTTTCCCACAGGGTGTCTTTTGACCTGATCTCCTCCCCTCGGCTGTGGGATCTTTACATTACAATATCAAGTGTCTTGGGGTGACTGATACTGAATTTTCTAACCATGATGTCATCTGACAAAATGACCAAACACAGAGGTTAAGTCAAACTTTCACTTAGACAGAAGCTTAGAAGGGAGAATCTTCTGCAGCTGAAATGTGCCAGAAAGATAGTGGCACCAGTTTTTAATCTGCAGAATGGATTTCTCTCCACTGAAGCTTTGTGCACGGTTTATTTGTTTGATTCACTTAAGATTTATTGAAGCATTTTGTGTCACATGTTAGACGTCAGTAATGACGATGTGAGGGTTAGACACTCAGCTATAACATGCTTACGCTTTCAATTAAGAACATGAATCTTAAATGTTTGCAGTCTTTATTTATATAGTCTTACTGTTAAGTACACACATAATACTCTATAAAGACACAAGAAACCAATCATACCTCCACTCCTTCCAGCTCCAGCGCTCCTCCTCTGTCCCTCTTTGCCCGAAGATGTCTGGCTACATGTGTGAGCATCTCAAGTGCCTCGGTGAGTTGAGCTAGCTTAGAACCCTTTTCCTGAGGACCCAGGTCGGCCAGTTCCTCTACCTCAACCTGCTCTCCGTTGAGCAGCGCCTGAGCCAGCTCGTAGTGGAGCTGATAGGAGGAGCGGATGAGCGTACGACCATACCAGACCTCTTGGACTTCGAGGGATTCTGCATCAAGCTCCCAAAGCACGCTCATTGCATACCTGAATTTGAAAGTGTCAGTTACACAACTAGCGTGCATTTTAAGCATATGAAAATGAAACGTGTGATGGGAAGTCTACCAACCTGTCAGCACCTCCCAGCAACGAGCAAAGGTCTGCGCTGAGAACAGCAGGCAGCATGTCGTACCTGCGGTCTGCCAGGTAGTAGGTTGTAGCCCTTAAGAAGTAACATAATAAATATAAAAAGGCAATGAGATCAAAGCAGCAGCTTTATCATCTGCTTTCTAATCAAAAATGAGACAGAATTTGAAAATAAGTATTAAATATTCAGAGTTCGTTCCACCTTTGTCATTTTCATCCTTCTGTTTATTAATAAATCAGGATGAAATAAATAAGCAAAATGTTTTTCTTATGATCTAATAAATATTCCCCATTTTCTGAAATAGAATTTAAGGCTTCAAACCACATTCATGAGATTTTAATTTGCTTCTTTAACAATCGTGACACTCGAGTGTGGAACTGAAGGAGGCGAGTGGACGGGTGGCTGATCTGCACGGTGCTTTGTGGACAGCTATGAAATGTAAAGTGGAATCTTAGAGTAAGTCAGAGAGAAAGCAGAGGACCAAAACTACATTAAAAATCACAACATAAAATATATATAGGAAGAATTCAGTATTATTTTATAAGTGCACGTTGTTAACAGTCTCCTCACTCTGCTCTCAGTCACTCTTCTGTACATGCTGCTGCTGCTGCTGCCTTTAAATAACGACATGCACGTCATCGACCTTCTTACTAATTTATCTGCAGACTACACTCACCAGCCTTTATCAGATACATTTCATTAGCACTGGGTTAGACACTTCTGCCTTCTGAACACTCATTTCTTCACTTCCAAGACTCAACAAGGTGCTGAATCAATTCCGTAGAGATTTTGGATTATAGCGAGATTACACCGAGATGACAGCATAATGCATTTTCTGCAGATTTGTCGGCCGTTCAGCTGTGATACTAATGTTTTTGGGCTGCTTCCCTGTCCCATGGTGTCATCGCTGCATGTTTCATTTGGCTCCAGCTCCCGATGCAATCCCAGGAAGGAAAATTTGATTAAGTGCAAGCATTGCCTTTGCAGCCCCGACCTTCACTTCATTTACTGCAGATATTTTTAACTCAGTTTTATTCATTTGTTAAATCATCATTAAATAAATCATGTGCATATATCTGTACATAAACACAGATGAATATCTTCTTGTTCTATTACTGTGGTTCAGCTGTCTTGTATCATCATCCTCTTTATTAATAAGATGCACTGAAAGCCAATTATAGACAAACCATTAACATTAAGTTAAGTCAAGGTCTGGAAAAAACCCTTTGCTCTCCAGTGTTTTCCTAACACCCTTAACGTTACAAAGGGGATCTGAAAGCAAATGATGTGTGACACACTGTTCGTTACTTCTACCACTCAGTAGAATAAAACTAATTTAGTTGTAA